GGAGTAGTATGTACAAATTAAGGGATAGATGGATTCATTTTTTTGAGACTATTTTGTTAGGACATGATATTATTGATGATGAAGATTTTAGAAATGTCATAAATACGCTAATACTCATGTAAATTGTTCTTGGGTAGTACCCTTTTTTGGTACCATGTTAATATATACCTCACTTGTTTATTTCAACAAAAAAATAAAATAAATTTGTATTTTTAAATAAGAATGCCGTTGTTTGGTCAATAGACCTGGACAAAAGTAAATCAGAATCCAAATCACCATAGTCCCCTTAGTTATTATTTTAGTTTCATTTTGATATTAATTTTAAATTACATTAAAATTTCATAAAAATTTTAAAAGAATATAATAATTATAACTAAAACTAAAATAATCTGTAATTTGTTTTGTTAGATATTATTTTAGTTTAATCTCCTTCTATGGTGTTTGGAAGCTAGAAGGATATTCTGTTATAACATCGTTAATTTGTCTTGGGCTCTGTCAGGTACTAGACCATGCAAATCTAAGAGAAACTCCTTATTTGTTTACAAGGAATCCTACTCTTGATATTGAGGATTTGGGGAATCTCACTGGCATTTTTTTATATTGATCTTTATAAATTCCTTGCAAATGGGCGACAATCCCTAAGTGCCTTTTGATGTCACTCTTATCTCAAAAATAAAGCAAAACAAGAAACCAAAACATCTTAAAAAGAAAAAACAGGGAAGAAACAAGGATTATCCAGCAAATGGATAAGCATGTCTAGCTCATAACAAATGGCCAAAGTTGCGATAGAAGAATAAACATACTAGACCTGTCAGTACAATCAAGGATTAGCCAGCAAATTGATAAACATGTCTAGCTCATAACAATTGGCCGAAGATGCAATATAAGAATAAACATACCACACCCTTCAATACAATATCAGTCTCTGAATCACTGTTCTGGTAAACAACCCCAGGGCAGTCAATTAAGAAGATCCTCTTTGTAAGTGTTATGTACTGCCACACCTTAGTCTCCCCTGGAATAGGAGCAACCTTGCAAACCTAGTGAGAGAGAGAGAGAGAGCATCAAAGTCTATTGCATTGAACCACGAAAAGTAGTCTCCTCTGTACAAAATGGTAAAAATAATAAAGAATGCAACATCTGTCTTGATGAAAAAATGCACATCAAACAACTCTAAGCATCTTAAATTTGTGATTCAATCAAAAGTCTCTACTAGCACTAACACACAAACCTTACTTCTTCATAAATGCAGCTTATGCTATCAGTGACCTAAATTGTGATGAAAAAATACAAAATGCACTAACAATCATAGTAGCCCATTTAAGTCTTTGCTAAGGATGGCAAAAAATCTGAACTTGTTAAATTCTAACAGACCTAATCCGTCCTGTATCAATTTTTTCAAATAATTCGGATTTGGATAGGGTGGGTCAGATTAGTAATTCACGCAATACCGGAGCAAGTCAATTCTGGGTTTATAATTATAAAACTAGTTTGAACCTGAACCACTTATATATAAGAAATTATTTTCTATAATATTCTTAACATTGTTATTAAAAATATTATGATTATTTTTTTATAACTAAGCTACTTTGTTGAACTGTTTAATTGTTGTTGACCTAATTAATTAAATCTTGATTATATATATTTATAAATAACTAATTAATTCACACATAGCTGTTGGTTCTGTTTTGAGCTTCTTGAAAAACCCATACAGGCTGAAATCATGCAAAATTAATAACCCGCACAGAACCCAGAGTGAGGTTCAGGTTCTCACATAATGATTGCGTGCCAGGTTTTGATTTTATGAAAGGCTCCACAAAACCCACACATTATCATCTCAAGACTTTGTCACATCAAGAGTAAAAGATTAATGTGTACGAGTGAATGCCATTAAGCACAATGGTGACTTCCCTTCTAAGATATGATGCCAACTTGAACACACGCATACATTCCAACTACAGGCATATAACTTCCAAAAGGCTACTGATCTTAAATTTTTTTATTCAACAATTACTGGGTATAGTTGGTTTATAGACTTTCGGCAAGTCATGTATTATAATTTGTCTTAGCCCCTCGTAGATTAATTTTTTTCTTCAGAAAAGATAGGTGATACGTGGAGTAGGGCAACCATTCAACTATCACAGAGCTGCTTTGTTCCAGACAGTTTTGAGATTATATTGAAGAATGCAAAAGTGTTTTTTTCTTTTTTTGAGATAATGCAAAAGTGTTTTATGTAAGATGCTATGAAGGTCCGAGGCCCTCTGCACATCCGAGAAAATTAGGAAAGCCATATCAAGAAATAAATTACAATCACTAAGTGAGTCAGAGCATTTTACTAATCTAAAAATTCCTCTATTGTAGGCAATTCAATGATTCCAAGTTCCACGTTTAATTATTAATGTGTGTCAGTCCAACAAATAAATATTATAAATCAATTAACTTCTTTTATTTTCTTCAAAAGATTATGCTCATACTATCAACTTAGCATTGAAAAATATGTGAACTAAAGCAAAAGTCAAGAAGATTGGATTCTTACATTCTTCGTGCGCAATGTATTGATAACCGATGACTTTCCAACATTGGGATATCCAACAAATCCCACAGATATAGCCTGCTTGTCACTTTTTAGGCGGGAAAATTGTCTCAGCACAGATAGAAGAGACCCCTGGATATGAAACAATAAATCTCAATACCTGGAAAGCAACTATCAACTAAAAATTGGTAGCAAAAGATAATAAGTCAACAACAGAATATACAACAAACTAAGATAATATCAATCAGAGAGAAAGTTAATTGGAAATATGTGAAAATGAAAAAGCATAGCAAAGATGGTTTACTTTAGAAACAAGAAAGATAATACTAGAATCCTACAATATCAAGATGCAGAGATGCTATTGGACATCTAAAACACTTTTGACTTACCTTGCCAAATGATTTATTGATGCTTGCATGAAATGCTAGAGTTGGATATTCCTTGGATAATACTCTAAGCCAACCTTTCGTTGCCCAAGCGGGAACCAGGTCACACTGAAAGATAAAATCATTTATTAAGAGAATAGAAGCAAAGCAAGTGGCAAACAGAAAGGGATAGAAAAATGAATAACCACGAGTAACTCGAAGAACGAAGATGCAGGTAACCTTGTTTAACAGAAGAATCAAGTGCTTATGACTGCAATGCTCTTTCAAGTGCTTCTCTAAATGATAACACCTCGTACCTTGCGGGTCCCTTGCATCCAAAACCTATAATTGAAAATTTGGGTAAGCCAAAAATTTAAAAAATAAAAAAATTTTGAAAGACAATAACACATAAGCACACATGGACACACAAACAATTTCATGTCTTAACTTTGAAAATCAACCAATGAGCATTCTTGTCACAGGTAGTACTTTTTAGTCTTTGTATTCTGGAAACACATATAAGAAATCAGTGTGATCCATAATGCTCTCTTTTAGTATTCCAAGAACTTGGGCTACTAACTCTGGAAGGACCAGTCACACGTGCTTCATACCATTTCTTGCAACCTTTTAAGAACCCTTTTGATGTATGACAAATTAGAGTTAATTTAGGGATTTGGGGATAAAAATCTAGACATTACACCTAATGTTTTTTAGACATTACATCTAAGAAGTCTTAAATATCATTCTTAGGATCTGTTTGGCACAGCTGATGCTTGTGCTGTGAGTTTGTAAAAGTGCTTTAAGCATACTTTTTAGGAAATAGAACAGTCATTTCTTAATGCATCTATTTCCAGCTTCTGATTTCACCTTTATCAAAAACGAAAAACAATTAGTGTTTTGTGCTTGATGGTAGAAATAGAAGCTGGGCAAAATAGACACTTCAGAGCTTCATTGCATTATAAAATCAAATATCCAGAAATTCTCGAAGTATGTTATGAATAATTGAATCATGATCTCAAAAAGATTAAAAAGCATTTGTACAGTGTCAAGTAAGTACTTCTTGAGTAGAATTTGACTAAGAGATACTAAGACTAATAAGATAGGAAATACTACTTGTAGTAAGATAATAAATACAAGTACAAATAAAAATAAAATCATCCAATTATTTTTTTTCTAAAAAAAGAAAAGTAAAACAAAACAATAGAACCCTAAATATTTGATAGAATCCTATATAGTAGAATTATGACATTCCTAAAACTATAACAATAGAATCCTAAATAGTATAGTAGTTTTATATTTGATAGAATTATGATTCCTAGTGTCTTTTTGTAAATATAACTAATTCATTCTGCATCACCTCTTTTTGCAAAGCAAAGGCAACAAACAAAACTCACAATTTCTAATACTATTAATAGGATTCTAAATAGTATAGTAGTTTTATATTTGATAGAAGTACAACTTCTTGATATATTTATGTACATATAACTAATTCATTCTGCATCACCTCTTTTTGCAACGCAAAGACAACAATAAACTCACAATCATGACCCTTTTGTGTACAAAAGTAGACATATCTAAAGAGATATGTAAATTCCAACATTTATGGCTTTTGAATATAACACAGACAAGGAACACTCATGGTTCACAATGGTCCACACAAATCCTACATTAGATATAGCCAAGAGAAAGCATGAACCGAAATAGAAAAACTTGCGCCGCCCAGTAAATATTTCACCACAAAACAAAATGCTGACCTGGACAACCACATCTGATGAGTCTATTACTTTGTAGAGTTCACCCCATATTCTTTTACTCTGACCCTTCTCAAACATCGTATGCCTAACCAAGTCTCTAAATCCATCTCCATCAGTTCCTTCAGCAGATGTGCCGGCACCATACTTTTGATCATAGGCATCTAGAAAGTTTATAAATAAATTAATGGTGCATATTGTCATTTCAAAAAGACTCAAATTATATGAAGAAAGGGAAAAGCCAACTTGCACATCAAAACAAAACAAAAGACTGAATTAATAAATTCGTTTACCATAAGAATCATCAGCTTTCTTAACTAAAGACTCATAATCAGATGCCAAGAGCTTTGGGCGTTTCCTCTTCGTCTTTGGTCCAAATGCATCCTGGAAAGGTTCTGTGTCGAGAAGATGAACTCTAGCTTGCTTCAAATATTGATCCAAAAACAAAAGGAAAAAAGTGAGAAATACATATATATATATATATATATAAAATCAAATAAGAACACTGTTTCATCAGACATAACATATATGCACCTCCATGTATCACATGGTTTAAAACATGGTAATCCTATAAAGTTGAAAGCACACATCACTCGAGCTCAGTACATTAGGTTTACAAACAATTTCAGCTTTCAATCTTCCGAAGGGGAAAAAAAATAATTACCTTCCTGTGATCAGTTAAGAGGGACAAGGGCAGCTTTTTCTCCTTCAAAATGACATTATAGCTACTTGACATTCGGCTCTGGAGCTCTTCCCTAAAAAATTCGAGCTCTTTCTGATTCACAACCCGAGTATTCCCTACAAAACACTAGCATTAGATCATAGCCAAAGCAGCCGCTCCTTTTTCACAAAACCAATAATCTATACAAATCTATAGGTATACATTTATATAATTTGACCTACCAAACCAGCGCCGATCGGGTTGTATACGAGTGCTTGGCAATTCCTTGGACTGAAACTCGTTCTTGAGGATCTTGCCCTTGCTATCGCGCGTGGGCCTGGTGTTGTACATCTTGAGCCGCCGCACCGTGGAGGCGCTGCGCACGTTGCTGGTCTTCCCATTCTTACGGTTCGCGTCAAGCGAGTGCTTCGGTTTTCCGTTTACGTTCACCGTCTTTTCTTTCTTCTTCACCATATTGGCCCTTTCTAGTGTTACTCTTTTGCAAGTGTAAAGAATTGACGGACTGATTTTGGGTGTTCGGGTTGCTCGTAAAGCGTGGGAAACCGAACGAAATGGAAATACGCGTAATTTGCAGAGGGAGGCGGTGCCCGCCGACTTTGGCCCGGCGGCTGTGTCTGGGGGTTTTGTTGAAGAGGGATTGGGGAAAGTGACGACACTTTTATCAGTTGGGTCGACCCGTTTCAGTATATGGGTTCGGGTCGGATCGCAATGTCGGCCCATATATGATCTTA